AGCAAAAATTTTTGTTCTGTTCGTCCAGATGAACATGCACTTTTCTCAGTTCATCCAGGCAGTTTGTACAGACTAACATACAGATTTTCAACATTTTTTTCAATTTGTACAAATGGTTCGTCCGTACTAACATCACAAATTTTTTTTTTTTTTCAAAAACATAACTTGAAAGTTTATGGGTTTCACAATATGTATCTTCAATTGCTAGGAAATGGATCTTGAACATCTTCTTTATCTTATAATTTGACATTTTTGACTCTATGGGCTATATCTTCTTCATTTTCATCAATCACTCAATCTTTATAAGCCTTATCATATTAATCAAAAGTGACATGGATGGATTCCTCAACAACTAAAGTTCTTTTTATTAAATATTATACAAACCTTACCAATTAAGAAATATCCTAAAAATACTACTTCATCTTCCCGTAAATCTATTTTTCCTAAATAAGATTTTTATTATTTAAAATAAAGCACTTACATCCAAATACATGTAGAGGAGACAGATTAGGTTTTTTAACATTAAGTAATTCATAAGGTATCTTATTCAACTTTGATCTTATGTTTATCTTATTTAGAACATTGTAGACAATATTCACTACCCTTACTTAGATGTGTTTGGGTAGACTATACTCACTAAGCATCACCTTAAAAGCCTCTACTAATGTCTTATTTTTTTCTTTCTACTATATTACTCTGTTGTGGGGTTATAAATGTTTAAAAGTTAGGTTCTATCCCAGATTCTTCATAAAATAATTCAAATGTTTAATTCCAAAATCACCTTTGTAATCACTATGGATTGTAATAAATTAAACAACATATTTTTCTTTGAATCTAAATTGAGAATGTTTTAAATTTCTCAAATGAATCACTCTTATGATCAAGGAATTTAACACAAGTGTATCTAGAGTAATCATCAATAATTACAAATCTAAGCAACTTCCCTCCTAGACTCACATTATTAATAGGTCCAAATAAAGCCTTGTGAAGTACTTCTAAAGGTTTATTGGTTACTACATACTTAATGGAATGGAATGAGGATTTGGTTTGCTTCCCTAATTAACATGCATCACAAAGATTTTCTTTGAAAAATTCTAGCTTAGGAATGCCTGAAACCTATTCCAACTGAGTTATTATCTTAAGAGTCCTCTTGCTTGCATGGGAGTCTCTTTTTCCACAACCATGATTCATGAATAGTTAACTTTCAGCAATAAACATCATTTGACTTATTAATGTAGTTTAAATCAATCATATAAACATTATTAATTCTTAATTCTTCTAAAATATTTTTTTAATTTAGTATTAGTATGCATTTTATATAAAAAAAGTATATGAAATCCTTTATCACATAGCTAATTGATACTTAGATGATTATGTTTTAAACCTTATACTAGCAAAATATTTTTAATAGAAAATTTGTTAGCTTTACCTAAAGTACCTGTAGCCACTACCCTTATGGTAGTGTTATCTCTAAGTGTTACGTTTCCTCCACTTATGGCTTCTAATGTGAACATATCTCCCATTATTCTAACGTAAATTGTTTCATATCTCCTATCATGTGTTATGAACATTTACTGTTTAGGTATCACATGCTCTCACTGAACCTCTTATGAGAGCACACCTAAAATATCAATCAATGGTTAATTATTAGAGCCAAGTGGGTTTGGGCCTCTTTTTATATTATAATGGATGTATGATTTACTATGTACATGATTTCTTATGCCTCCAAACCAAATGTGATCTATAGTGTATTCTGTGTGCAAATGCATGTGATATACCCTAATATGCCAAAAGAAAAACATTTCACTTTTGGAAATGGATGCATTAACATATATGAAGATTTATGTATTATTTTGAAATGTAGTGGTGTATGATGTGTTCTAATGTGTGATTTTTAGTGTGTGTACACAATGATGTATTTTCTCTAAGTGCAATTATTTTCTTTTTAACAAATTTCATTTGCACTTTATATATACCTAATTATACTAATGCCTCATGCTCACTACTATTAGTTTTAAAGCTAATCTTCTAGTTCCTTAAATGCTTCCTCTAATTCAATATTAACTTTATTTTTTAACTCATGCTTCTCTTGTAATGAAATTAGCTCTTTGTTTAAGGACTCATGTTTTTCACTTAATGCAATAAGATCTATTATTAAGTTTATAAATTTACTAATAAAATTGGTATGTTCTTCTTGTAATATTCAATGCTAACTTTTTTTATTTTTCATTAGTCATGAAATTATTCTGAGAGCAAAAATAATTCAACATAAGATCAATCACATACATGTTTGTTGTTGGAGTCACTTGAACTAATTTTGTCCATGGGACTTAAATTGGTCACATCCTCTTCACCTTCAATCTCAGATGAGTCTTAATTAGAATTAGCTTAAAATTCCTTTTAAAATTATTATTTGTCCTTCTTTCTAGATCTTTTTCATCACCCTTTTCTTTAGCTAGGTGTTTCTTGATGTTTTGGTAGTCATATAAGATAAGTTCTGGCTTTTTTTCTTTCACACCAAATAATGTCAGTATAAAAATTATTTGACTTTTTTTTCATACCGTTGTTAGTGTTTATGCTTGTATTTTATGAATCTTTTAAATTTTATGGTCCTCAATGCCATGTCTTTGTTTCCATCTAAACCATATTTGTTGTTATTGTATCATTAACTTTGAGTGTTATTATCTTCTCCTTTTTCATTGACTTGTTTTTGCATTTCTTTGACTAAATTTGTGCTCATAGATAATTAAAGAACTATGTAAATAATCAATCGAGTTAGAATTCAAATCCTTTGATTCAAATATTATAGTAACCTTTGTATCCCAAGATTTAGGTTAACAACATTAAAATTTGTTATTTTTTTGGTGTTAGAAATATCTCTACCCAATGCATGTTATTATGTAATGATTTATATAAGCCTATTATAAATGTCAAAACAAATTCACTAGGTTGTATGCAAAATAATTCATATTCATGTGAAAGTAGATTCATACAAGATTATTTTACTTCACTAGTGCCTTTATAAGTTATGCAAAGTCTATCCCAAATATCTTTACCACTAGTACTAGTTAAAACATGTATGTAATCTTCAAATTTTAAAGCATAGAAAAATAGCTAAGGCATTTTGCATTTAATTACACTATATCATGATCTTCTAAGTATCATTTAGTAAAATGAATTTATACTTTGACTCCAATCATAATTTTAAAAGGTAAAATATAGCCATTTTTGGTTGATATAATACCCTTTTGAGATATTATTATTTCGAAAGTGTTTAATGTGGATCTACTCAAGGTGTTAAAGCTAAGAAGGAGAGAACCTTACTCTTATACCTACTAAAAGTTATTATGACACAACAAGAGGGGGGTGTGAATTAGTCTTTAAAAACTTTTATTTAAGATCAAAATGTTGCAATTCTGGAACAAGGTCTTATGATTTTGATGATAACAAATATTATTGGGTTCTCTACTATGTTATCTCATGTTATTGTTATTATTGCATATTTGTTCTTGTGTATTAATATTTTAGGTCCACCATACACTGTGCAAAGTGATCAACTCAAGACTAGGTAGAATAGGGTTAAGTGTCATTAAGAGTCTATATTTCTATATTTCTTGAGTCAAAGTCATATATTTGGTGGATGTTAAACTTGGTGATCAAACACACACACACACAGGGGAGTGAGATAAAGGGAAAATTAGAATCATAACTTTTTGAACTAATTATACTATATGATATATATCGTATTGTATGATTAACTATTCAAAAAATCATTATAATGACTAATTGCCATAATTAAAGCTAATTGAATTCATCATATCTATGATCCAAATTATACATGATGATCAGCTAAAATCATGATCTTAATCGCCAATTATAATTTAGGCAATATTTTAAAATTTAAAATTTGTATTAATCATACAATATGATAGATATTATATTATACACAATAATCAAATCCTGGATAAGATAATACTATAATTAATTGATCAAATTTAGATTAATTGATCTAGTCAGATCATACTAGATGATAGGACTAATCATATTGTACCACCCGATCTTTACATGAGATGATTGTTGACCTCATTTTTGGTATGAGGTCACTAAGGCCCTTCCAAACTCCAGATTAATTCTAGACCCTAAGATCCACTCTAGACTTTAGGATCCTTCCCTAGAGCCAGACCTTAGGGCCTACTCTAGAGCCTAGGGTTCCCTTAGATCCTAGATCCTAAAACCCCTTTAGATCTTAGGGTTAATTTAGACTCAAATCAATCCCTATCTTTGATCAACTCCAACTTCAAATCAATTTCTACCTTTTGATCAACTTCAACCTTTGATCAATTTAAATCTCAAACTTCATTCAACTCAAATCCCAATTAATTAAAATTTCAAAAACATCCAAACTTTGATTCAATCCACTTGAGAATCCAAAATTTAACTTAGACTTTGATTCTACCTTTAATCTAGCTTTGACCCTATCCATTCATTAACAATCACCACATGATTGTAAATGATTTGGATACCATAATATTGATCATTCAAACTTGAAATCCATTCCAAATCCAGAAATCCAAACTCAAATCCAAAGTCCTAAGGTCTTGTCCTAAAGACCCTTTTCATTCAAACATTTCAAAACCCAGTCAAATGGCCTCTGATTCAGGGTCTATCACTTTCAAAGTAATAAGTCATGTCTCTAGAGGTTACCCTCCAATTTTGAGCCTATTCTGAGGTCTCTAACCCCAGAATATGAATTAAAATTCAAAGGCTATAAAACCTTCAAATATTTACAGCCTATGCCACTGAACCTAACCCCTTTGAGATTTTGATCTTGGAGCGTTTATCAAAGCCTCCAACCACTTCCACCATCTCCTTGCTTTGGGTTGCCATCAGCCCGCCGCAGGGTAGCGAGGCAGCCGCCGCCATGGGCGGCTTTCAGTTCACTTGATGACCGAAGAACAGAGTAAGAATGTATTTTAAGCTCTACAACAATCAAATATATATCTTTACTGGGACCGGCCGTATAAATTCTTTTCTGATCAAAACAAATATCAACATAGATCTGCGCATATTTTGGCGCAACAAAACAGTTTTGTATCATTTAATTCCAATCATTTTTCATTCAATCTAAAAGAGTACAAATGATTCAGCCTGGTCTATTACAAGCTCTCAACCAAAAACTGTTCACTGATTAATGAGATAGAGTGGCAACAGAATCTGCACCGGATTGTTTCTCAACGTTATATGCTTCCCAGGCGATTTCCCTCAGCATTTTGAACCTTTCATCTAATGTTTTAAAACTTGCTTGTGGACTGATTACACCACAAATCCCAGCTTTATATATTAGAATAATACTGCCACCCATTTCAGGACCATGAAGTTTTCCTGTAAGCAATAATCGAAGAGGCATGAAGAGAGACTTTCCCTGCACAAAAAGTACAAACATGAGAGTTTTAGCGTAGGTAGATAGACTTAAGGAAATTAATTAAGGCTGCTTCAACGTCGCGGTGACAGAACAATAATGCTTAACATGGCGGGGAATTAATTATTTCTAACAATTTGGCTTCCCTGAAAGTAGTAATAGACTATCTTGTTTTGTTTGTTTAATCACGTATCTTTACGATAAGCCTGTACTGAAAGCTTCTTTAATGAAGCATAAGCATGTGTTTTTGAAGAAATAAAGACATCTAATACATCCTGCCAGGCCAAAATAATGGCTTAGGCCGATTATAAATTTCAGTACTTAAGGGTCGGTTTGGTTTGATAAAAGTGAGTGCCACCAGTAACTTCACTTCACTTGGAAAGGTGAAAGGGATTCGACTACTCTAACGCATTGGGAAAGATGAAAGGGATTCAATTACTCCGCCGCACTGGGGAAGTTGAAAGGGTTTTGGCTACTCTGCAGCATCGAGGAAAGGGGGAAGTGGTTCTTGTAAGGGCTTCAGAGAGAAGAACTCCATGAAGTGGATGTAGGTCAACTTGACTGAACCAAAATAAAATTTCTAAAAAATGTTTGAATTGATGAAAAAAGAATACATAGTTAAATTTTGATGAAATTCAAATTCACTTCGGTGTTTATTTTTTGTTGTATTCAAAACTGCATTTTCAACAAATTCTAAATACAAATACAAACTGACTCCGCCGCTCCCGCCGGCCATGACAACCCCACCCTAACGACCTCCTCTACTATTCGCTATCGCAACAACTGCCAGCCACCATATTCATCAAGCTTTGTCTTGCATTTATTTTACTCCAAACCAAATAAAAAAATAATCACCAGCATTTGTTTTACACTCATTCAAATAACTCTAAATTTTCAAATAAATTGCATTCCTTTTACATTATATTTCATTTTACTTTTTATTCTTGTATGATTGAGCTCTTTGGACAAAAAATTTAATAACGGACGACACAACTTGACAACCACTAGGAGGGGCTCTTAACAAGCCCTGCATCCTCTTTGTCAGCTTCGACAAAAGCATTTGGAAACATTTAGATTTTCACTACTAAAACCTCTTGAATCTTCTTTTGATGTCCATTCCTAGTTATTAAAAGCCTTATGAACTTCTAAGAAGGTTATAGCTCATTACTACATAAGATTCGCCACTAAGTGATAAAATAGCTTACAAATTCTAGAATGAGGCTATTAAAAAAAGAGACATTTAGGCTTTTCGTTTGGGACGGCTTTTTTATTTTGTTTCTTAAAGCAGTTTTTTAAATACAAAATTTTAATTTTTATATTAAAAAGATGCTTTAAGAAGCATTAAAAAAGTCATCCCAAACGAAGCCTTAAATTGTATAAGTTGAACCGAGCATATAGCTCGTGTGACATCCGAGTCAAAATTGACACAGTGAAAGTATCAACCTTCCAATAAAAATTTTTGTATGCATAAAAAAATTCATATTTGGAGGCGTAAATACATTAACAAGGAACAAATTCTAGTGGATGGTGTGGCTAACCAATAAGAAAGCTTAAAGATAAATCAATTTGAAACAAACATTGTCCAAATTTACTGACCTTGCGTTTCAATTGCTTGCCAAAATTTTTTACCCAGTTTTGCCAGCCTATGGGACCAGCCTTGAGGGCTTCAAGCAGCTCACCGCTGTCATAAGCAGAAAGCAAGCTTGTTGCCAAATCAAACAACTTGTCTTCAACAACGGGTTTGCATTCTGCACTGAAGGTCAAACATGAAATCCGGTTAGTAATACAAGTTTTATTTTGATTGCACGAATAGGAGGTTGAGGTTTGGGTGTAGAATTTAGGCTTTGTTTGGGATGGCTTTCTTACTGCTTCGTAAAGCAGTTTTCTAGAATAAACATTTTATTTTTTGTGCTAGAAAGCTTCTTTAAGAAGCAGTAAGAAAGCCGTCCCAAACGAAGCCTTAGTCTATGATCATCACAAATTACCTTGCTAAAGTAGATTCCAGTGGATAAGACAGTAAGTTCGAAAGAACTGCATCAGCATCTGTAACCAAATCAATTCCATCCTTTAACAGTTCAGTTGCTTCCTGACCATAGATTATGTGGTAGTAGTATTATAGTATGTTCCAAGTACAATGTAAGACGTATTTCAGGTTGGAAAAAAGAAAAATCAAAGGCAGTTGGAAGGATTAAAAAATTGTTATCCCTTAGATTCAATGTCAATGGTAAATTAACCATTCATTGTGCACAATTCAATTTCTAAGGTACACAACCAAGCAGTTAAAATATGAAAATGTTAAGAAAATATGGCCCTTCTTCAAACGTGCACACATTCAGACCAGCAAAGCTCGGCTTAACATTTTTACCCCTTACAAGAAGCACAGACTATGCCAAACTTTGAGTTTTTTTTTTTTTAACCAAGGATTAGCCAAGCAAGTCAACCCTATAACATCCATAAATTATGTCGGCCCATATGTCTTGATAACCATACAACGTCCATCAATTAAAAGATGTGTGTGGCATACATAGCCAACCGACCCTTTTTTACCAAACTTTGAATAGTTATTGTGCCTTCCGATGACCCGGTTAGGAGAGCAGATGTATTAGATTTGACTTATGTTAAGAAAGGTAGGGGTAGACCTAAAAAGACTTGGTTAGAAAATATTAGGAATGACCTTTCTTTATTAGATTTAAACGAGAATTTGACTTTTAATAGGACACAATGGAGAAAAAGGATTCATGTAGCCGACCCCACGTAGTGGGATAAAGGCTTGATGTTGTTGTTGTTGTTGAGGGTTAGCCAAGCAAGTCAACCCTATAACATCCATAAATTATGACAGGGCCATATGTTTTGATAACCATACAACATCCATCAATTAAAAGATGTGCGTGGCATACATAGCCAAACGACCTTTTTTTACCGAACTTTGAATAGTTATTGTATAGAAAGACATTATTTGGTCTCAGGCCATCAAATGCACAATCAAGCTCATAATAGATTGATTATGGCTAATGCATTAGACATACATGTCTAAGGAAACATTTCAACCCATCATTTTTGAATGAAAATTTGGTTTATAGCATAAAAGTGCAATATATCTGATTGGGTAGATGCTACACCCATGCGGAACGCACAAAAGAGGTCCATAAATTTCATATCACTCAATTAGAAGAAATTTCACTTGGTAAGACTTCATAAACTAAAGAAAAAAATGCATGCTGACATCAACTGAAAATTAAAATAATTAAAAAAAATTACCTTCACGAACATGCCTCCTGAATCTACGAGCAAGCCCATGCTCTTCCATCTTTCCCCCAAAATCTGACTCAGCTCTTCAGATGGAAGAGCTCTTAAGTGCTGACCATTCATCCATCTAGTCCAAAGAGCAAAAGTTCATCATGACTAGAAAACAGATTGATTGATTTAAGCTTCATTTGGGATTGGCTTTCTTACTGCTTCTTAAAACAAATTTTAGTTCAATTTTTTTAATTTTTTACTAAAACTCTGCTTTAAAAAGCAATAGAAAGTCATCCCAAATGAAGCCTTAGAAATAAAAAGCTATTTCAAAAGTTTTAATGATAGAAAATTCCTTAAGATCATGAGCCAAGATACACAAATGCGGGTAATACAATATTCAGGAGAGATGTAAAATGATGTTAAGAAAGTAGTCATTATTACGCTGCATTTTGAATCATGAATTCATCTAGCACGCTGGAGAATTCAAACTGAATCCATGTATTTGCTGAAACTCTAGGGAAAATTACATGCACTATTGATGCATGCGTTTTAGTCTAAAATTTCTAATGCAAGTTACAATACGAAAAGCAGAAACTCATTCAACAAAGTTGCAAATTTTGCATGTCACAAATCTTAACATATAACAATTATTTGTTAACTGCGATGGAAAGCAAAAATACAATAAAAAGTGGTTCATATGAAAAAGCCAAGTAGCCGACTATAATAACGACAACACCAAGCCTTTATCCATTCCCACTACGTGGGATCAGCTAAATGAATCATTTTTCTCCATTGTATCATGTTAAGAGTCAAAATTCACATTTAAAACTAATAAGAAGAGGACATTTCTAATATTTTTTAACCAAGTCTTTTTAGTTCTACCCTTACCTTTCTTAACATAAGACAAATCTAATACATCTACTTTCCTAACCAGGTCATCATAAGGCAGCCATTTTATGTGACCAAACCATCTAAGTCTACTCTCTCTAATCTTATCTTCCACTGTAGCTACTCCAACCTTTTCACGTATATACTCGTTTCGTATCCTGCTTCTAAGAGTAAAGCCACGCATCCACCTGAGCATCCTCATCTTTGCAACACTTAACATTATGTTTCACTTTTAATGGTATAATAATGATTATAAATTCAAGTACTTTGAAATTCATGCACTTATTAAAAAATCTGATTACATCAATTCTGATTAAAATTAATCATGCTTTCAAATCAATAAGAGAACTTAAAAGAAGAGAGAATAAGGAAAACTATTTACAGCAAGGCCAAATTTTTATTTATTATAAATAATCAAATAGATAGTCTCAAATTGCAAAAGATAATTAATACTCAGATTTTCACACTAAGATAAGAGTTTTATTAATTTCAGTTTGGCGTTTCAAATAAGCTCAATTAAAGCTCCAATTACTAATCACTTCTTTTAAATAAGAGAACATCTAACCAAGAGCTTAGCAACACAAATTAAATTGACATGGTGCAAGCAACACAATTAATAGTTTGGAAAGCAACACTGTAAAGAATTCCATCGTTCCCATAGTTCCATCATCCATAGTCTGCTTTCTTATAATTATCACAGAGCTTTGGACATGATCTGAAGGCAACCTTATTAGCAACCATAAATTATCTCATTCAACGAGCTTCCAAGTAACTTGAGGCTACGGGTAGGTTAGTTTTAGTTTGATAAGAAAGCCTTGGCTTGCTTAAGGGTTTGGCAACCTAGAGCCTTAGAGACAAACTGATAACGTCCCTATGGTCGTGTTTTATGCTGATGTCCAAGGTTTATAGCTACGACAGACGAACAGACGATCAAGATTTGATCTTGACAATTAGTTTTGAGGTCCAGCCTACATGGGTTAGGGCACAAACTTGACTATGAGTTTTGATAGGTCGGAGCCTTCACTTAAGAATTTTGGTTGGAGACCCATACTAAGAGTGCAAGCACTTGAAATGGAGGCCTAATTTGCAACACTAGCTAAGAATTTTGGTTGGAGACGCATATTTTTTTATTGATTTATTTATACTTTTAAGATAATCATCCATAAGCACTACTCAATGTCTACTCAATGTTGTGTGATCATGCTCTCTACAAGAATCGCCTTACAATCTTTGCAAAATAAAAAAAATATTTACTTTTAAATAAAAAGAATTATATTTATAATTTGGAGGCTCCACTTTGTAAGAAGCTAAGTGTTCTTCTCATTTCTTCAAATATGAGTTTGCAATAGCAAGGTCATAAATTACATCAAAATCCACTATAGTTTCTCTGATTTCTCAATCTTGTTCATAAACCACAATGAATCCTCCCTTATGATGCACTGACACTTCTTCTAAAAGAGCTATGCAATGTCCGGCACGTATCCGACAAGTCCTGCATCAATGCCTATGACACGTTTTGACACACCGAAAATGTGTCCGATTAAAAAAATATTAAATACAAATTGGACACACGTGTCTGACACGCATCTTAAATAATTTATAGATTTTTTAAATATAATTTCTTGTATTTTAAAATTTTTATTCATTTAAAATTTTAAACTAAATTTCTTATTGTATATCCACAACACCAAATCAATCGTCTGCACTCAATACCCCATTCATCAAATATTCTCATTTTCATTTTCTTTGGTTGGTCGCAACTTTGGTTTCAAAACAATACTCGATGTCATCTCAACATCGATATTTCAAAGTCATCTCAACATCAAAGTCTAATACTGTCTTGACATTGATGCTCGACGCTAGCAATTTTTACACCCACAACTTGACAGCTCATCTTTGTTCGACGTCGACTTAACATCGAAAACCAATGCCCTCTCAACATCGACGACAAATACTCTCTTGACATTGACGCCCAATACTTACTGCATAGCATGATGCCAAACTCTCAAGTCTCAACAGCACTATTGTCTCCTCTCTCGATGTTTGATACACGTCATCAATGTCCAACTCTCAGCATCATGATATTAATCATTTTAAGCACAATTTCTAGTTACATGACTAGTTATTTCTAAATTATTTGTAACATTATATTTATTCAATTTTTATACACTACTTTCAAAATATAAAATATTATAATATCATTCCCAACCCATGTTCGTATCCTATATTTTCAATAATTGACATGTCCCGTGTCTGTGTCATGTCGTATTCGTGTCCGTGTCTGTGCATCATAGATCCTCCCATAGCTCATCCTGCTAGAACATATACACCTATTTAAATAACATCCAATAAATATCATTTCTTCATCAAGTATATATTATAATAATTTATCAATCTCTTTCCAAAATTGATTAGAAGATCATTCATCAAACAGGAGTTGGATGACCAACAAGCTGCATTTTCAAGCCATTTCAGATCAAATAGTTTAACTGGTTCCACTAGAATGTAAGCTACTGCTGAGACAACAAGAAAACTCCAGCATGTAAGCCTTCATGCGTTTTTATCAACATTCCACAATCACATACATGTCTAATCAAGGATAAAGTAGCCTAATTAACAGAACATGATAAATTATAATTGAATGAAAAGAAGAGTGTCTAAGGAACATGGAATACAATTATCATGTAGATAAGAAGTCCATCATAAGCATAATTAACACAGAAAAACAAAATCTTTCAAAAGGATTAAGCAATAGAAGCACGCAAATTCTATAATTAATTGTGATTTAAGATAACAACCTTCAATACTCTTACCTTAACTTTGTAGAATCAAACACTGCTCCACTCTTATTAACACGACTGATGGAAAACTTTTCAACTATTAATGAAATAGACTCGAGTAAGATGAGGACCTAACAAAAAACATGCTGTTTCTTGAATGCAACATAAAGAACATCTCAACTAAAAACTGACCTAGCTGATCCATGGTAAAAAATTCATTGTCTGTTCCATCACCCCAGCCTAGAAGTGCTAGATAGTTAACCATTGCTTTAGGTAAATAGCCCATCACCCTAAACTGTTATAAAGCAGCCAAAAAGTGCATAGCTTCACAAATGAACAATTAGCAGCAACAAATATTGATACTTCAAAAAGGGCAGCACAATTTTTAATATATTAGTCCAAAAACATAACGAAGAGAACTGCCCACCTGTCCCACTGAAGTTGCACCATGTCGCTTTGAAAGTTTACTTCTATCTGGGGCAAGAATTAATGAAACATGTGCAAATGAAGGCATGGTGAATCCTAGTGCCTGAGACAGGACAAAAAACATATATAAGATTTAGGCTTCGTTTGAGACAGCTTTTTTACTGCTTCTTAAAGCAGTTTTCAAGTACAAAAATTTCAACTTTTGTACTAGAAAGTTGTTTTAAGAAGAAGTAAAAAAGTTGTCCCAAATGAAGCCTTAATATAAATGGAACCAGACAAGGGTTTTATATGGGAAACAAAAAAGAAAGACCACTGAGAATTTAGAAGAGCAATGCCTGGTAAATAAGAGCTTGCCGTAAAGTATTTGGAAGATGTTCCTCAGCTCTAAAGAAAACATAATAAACATATAAGCCCTGAAACCATATTTTAATCTGGAAAAAAAACAGATATGCATTGAAAAATTTTTAAATGGAGGGTATGCTTACCTTATAACATGTGATACACGCATAGTGGCATCATCAACCGTGACACAAAAATTATAAACAGGTTGACCATTACTTCTCAAAATCACGAAATCACCAAGCGTATCTAGGCTCCAGCTCACCTTCATGAAACTATCAGATTAATTAGATAGCATTAAAAAAAATGATTCATTTCTTTAAATGACTAGGATCTGAGATGCGCCACAATGACAAAATGATAATTTATAATATTTTAGCTAAGGAACAAGTGATTCAACAAATCTCTACATCTTACTTCACCACGAATAAGGTCATTAATTTTCAAGATCCCTTCCTTCGGTACACGAAACCGGTATGTGTAAGGTGTCATCTTTCCCAGCTCTTCCTGAATTTCTCTATCTGAAGCAGTCGCCCATTTCCCTGTATATACTGGTGGCAACAGCAATTGCTGTGCACGTTCCTTCATTTTCTCTAATTCCTGGAGATAAAAAGATAGCAGTTTTGAAATCTCCCTCGATTGACCAAAACCATGATGAAAAGAGATCAATTAATATATCAACCTTTAAGTTTAACTTTAAGACACTTTAGTATCCTAGTTTCAAATGATAATTGAGACGTAGGGATTCAGAATCAGATCCAAAGCAATAACAGTGTGTGTGAATCATCAGACTGGAAATAGAAAAGATCTAAAGAAAGAAGCGGCAAAACAAGAAATGATAGAAATGGGAGAAGCAAAGCAATCCCAAATCTCAAACTTTCTCACAACTTCGACGGTCTTACATAATAATATAAACCGTCCATCTCAGAGGCCATTGTATCAATGTTAGTTAATGAATAACCACACAGCAATTTGAAGCCTCCTTTATAGATACAGGAAATAAATAAAACAAAAAGGCAGACGCAGAATGAATATGGTTTGGGATTCTATTTAAATAAAAAAAGTTATTACATAACAGGATTAACATCTAAGTTTTGTAAAAAATCGTATAACAAACAAAAAGAAAATGAAATGCCAACCTCATTAGAGCAAAAACATCTGTAGACATGACCAGAGTTCAACAAATTCTCCGCATATTGCTTATAAAGTGAAGTTCGTTCTGATTGACGGTAGGGGCCATACTCTCCACCAACTCCAGGACCTACGATAGTTAAAATAACTTGCTCAAATTACTTCTCATGCAAAAACTTGGCTCAAACGAATAGTTTTCTTGGATGCCAAGAAGTTCTAAGAAAAAGTTGAAGCATTTGAATTTGATAATCATAAAAACTAAAATGTTTGCCACAAAATATCTAAAAGATGTGTCTTTAGAACTCAATGTTACTTATTTGATTCAGATATATATAAGCATGGCACCGGCCATCGTTGCTGGAGATGTATCATTCATGAAATATAAATTTATGATTGCTCTCACATGTTGAGAGCTAACATTGCTTTTTACAAAAGAAAAATAGTTAAAGTAACCTGTGCTAAAATAAAAATTACACAAGATTTGTGGCCAAGTTCATAAAAAGGTGAACTCAAAGTTCATAAAAGACGTGGTTCATCAATGTCCTTAACAAATGAAGCATGGAAAAGGAGCATAATTTCAAGAGATCTGATGGAGAAAATTTACAACCATGGAAAAAAAAAAATGTAACTTCTACTGCTTTTCTGCAAACCGATGGTTCCCATGATCACAAACATAAAATAGAACAGCAATAGCGGTCATAAAACATTTATGACAACAAAATAATTTCAAGCGCTATTGAGCTTCAACGTGCTTAATAACACTAGGGAATAGAAGAAAAGTACTGGATGCTTTGACTAATATCAACTACTATAAATCTATCAGTACAAGCGTACGGAAAATATTGCCTCAATTTCCAACACTATAACCCTCTACATATGACCATCCCAGAAATAATGAAGCAGGCATTCAGAACTAAAAATAGAGAAATTTAGTTCTTTTCTTAAAAACTGATCATAAAAGATCATAAATTCATAAAATATTGGAACAGCTGTACAGGAAAAGAGAATATTTAAAGAACAAATATTTTGCAAGAACAAGGAGATGAGAAAATCGTCAAGAAATAGAATGTCTCTGGAAATCCAACCTTCATCCCAATCAAGACCAAGCCACATAAGATCATTTAGCATTGCTTCCTCTGATTCTTTTGTAGATCTTTCCAAGTCCGTGTCTTCAATTCGAAGAATAAATTTCCCACCATTAGACCTGAAGAATAATCATTCATTATTGTAAGAGCTTATTTTGGTAAAAGGCACAAATTTCTAAATAATGTCTTGAGTTTGGAATTCAAAAGCTAACCGGCACTAAAAATGTAAACTTTCAAATCAACTATTAGTAAACAAAGAAATTGTCAATATGGAGCATCTCCCTCTATGATTCTTATTTGTAATACTTTTTATGTTACAATAGAGAGTACATTTTTCTGAAATTCTAAATCATGTTCGAATCAAGTACCAAGCATATCAATAGCAGCATTGAGTATTTGGATTATTCATAACAAACTATGCGGTCTACTTGAATGGTAGAAGTTTGAAAGTACGCAAAAAAGCAATTATCTAAAATATTTGCATACATGATTGTGATGCTCCATTTAATATGACAAGTCGCTCTAATAAAATAAATCAAAATTGTTGGATCTAATGTTGTTCGTAGAGCCACACCAAGACCTTACTACAAGTATAGACTAAACTTGAATAGACTAAAGAGGGAAAAGAAGAAATTGAAACTACCAGTCAAACAATCTCTTTGCTTCATTGGGAATTTCAAAATTCTCAAGAGAAAACCTTAAGAAATTATTGAGGTTTGAGATGGCTAGAAAAGTACAAAATGAGATAATATGACAAGTTGTACCCAAGACTGGGGGTGACTAATTTATAAGCAGGGACCAAAGTCAATGGCATAAGACAAGGCTACAATAAATAACAATAAAAATACATGAATTGTCTCAAATTAGCCGCTCTTGTTGCAGGTTAGTCAGGCTCTCAATTGTCCACTAAGAGATAACTATGAGCAAGTTGCAAGAAGGCGAGAGTACCATTGGTGAGTTCCCTAAGAGAACTCTTAAAGACTTCTAGCAAAAATATTGACTTGACAGGCAACTACCCTAGACAAAAATGCAATATCTCCCAGAAAAACAGTTTTGTCAAGCATGCAACTTCTCGAGTTCCATAGGCAATTTTAATGTTTCACTTCTAAGGTATCAATAGGATTTTTCAATTTTCGCAACTTTTTAAGTCTCATTCCAAGATGATTAGGGGCAGCAGGTAACTCCTGGCCTTAGACGACTTCTAGTCTTGGCGAGTTAAGCAAGTTCAAAATTACTAAGTTATAGAACTCAGTTAAGCTTAAAATTTGACTTTATCAACCCGCCCAAATGAATATGGGTGTACATATATTCCATGATTCTTTTTTTTTTCCTTTTAAAAAGATGAGAAGAACAGGAGAATAAATGTAAGAAACCTAATTTTCCATGAGAGAATTATTCATCTAAAACTTTTCAAAAAGTTCAAGAAAATTTTCTTTATGATAATCATTATCCCTCAAAAGGAAGAGGAGGGAGCTTTAAATAGCAAAAATACAATAGCAAGATAAAAGACAAAAGTGCCTCTAAGGATCACAAACAACTACTCTCTCAAGTGAGGATAAAAACGAAAAAACTGCGATAATAAATCAAATACACATGTACTAATAATAAATCTAATACAAATGATAGCTCAAAAATAAAGTGGTGCGATCGTGGCCGTAGATCGTCGGCCCCTTCTCTTGTAGACTCTCCATGGTCCGATATCCTCATCAGCTGATACAAATTATTTTAAGATTAAAGAGTTTTTTTAAGGGGGAATAATTTAACTTGTGACAATGAACCCAATCCAACTGCCGCATAGTCTTTCTTCTTTCCTTTTCTATGATGTATGAAGTTTGAGTTATATATAATGCAAGATAACTAGTAACATGTGTATTGAAATTTTTATCAATAAATAAGTGTTTAATATGTTCCCTTTACTTTTTTTTTGTAATTAGAAAAATTTTCCTTTTAAGATTTCCTATGTTCAACAAGTACATCTAAGAAATGAAAATTAATTAACCATATTCATCTCACAACAGCACTAATTAAAATTAGAGAAATGATGGACTAAAGGCAGGTGACATCGATTGAGACTAACTTACCTTTATAGGAGTCTAACGCATGCACTTGAATCTGGTGGGAGGATGGACCTCAACAATCACGACCAATAAGGCTTTAGTCGGTTGAGATGGGTGCTTTTCAAGACAGCGAAAGCGATAGCCGATGAGTTTCTCTAATACTCTCCCTAGTATCTCATGAATCATAATGGGAGGAGACATTGAAGCAAATAAAACAGAGACTTAGCGACGAGGAGCACCAGAGATAGTTGAACTACACTCTCAGAATGAATTCACAATAGGGATTGCTTGATGGAATCTCTTAAAGATTTTCTAGATCATCAGTCAAAGAAAATCCTCCATATTCTAAATCTGCTCTAAAGTAATTATTATTATTATTATTATGGTTATTCGGAAGGAAAGCTTTGCAAGTCACTCCATGGCTTAATTATTGACCTTTAGCATTGCTTATGCTCATTAAATCTTGAAGGATATTGGATCCAATGTTGAATAGATTGGAGAGAAAAGAAAAGAGAGAAACTAACGGACAAAAAAAAATCTTTGATTGGGATTTACATGATACCAAAGAGAGAAGTCCTAGGAAAATCTAGATGGCATAGAGTTGGTCAGAAAAATAAATACTGAGGTCAACAAATCCTTGCCCCATCATTGACTTTTTATTTCTAAATATGGTCCAAAGTCAATGACGCATGATGTGTTACAGTAAATAACAAGAAAATTACAAGAATTATATTAGTACATGAAGCGCATTTGGAAGGTTCAAACCATAAAATGGACGACCAAACGATTGCCAAACATGACATGCTTATAGTCAAATCAAGCGGCTTGACGAGACGAATCTAATGAGCCCAAGATTGTTGAATTATGATGTAATTAAGACACTTCAATACTCGATAAATGGTCCACACTCAAGGGAGTCAATATCGACCATCCATTCAAAACACACCCATCATGCCCTTGATCTTCTCCCTATTTACTAACCATGACACTCCAAAAAAAAAATTACAAATAAATCATTCATTCTTCATTGAGTGGGACCCAAACAAAAAGAGAAGGAAGAAAGAAAAATCAAAATTTTATTGCTACCAGATTACTCCTCTTCGACCACCACCGGCCACCGACCTTCGCCGGACTATCGTCGACCTTCGCCGGACTAACGTCGAACTTCTGACAGGCCACTAACTGTCGGCGAACTCTCGCAAGGCCACCAACTGACGCGGGATTTTCGCCCGTCCATCGAATGTCGTTGGACTTCCGTCATATCCCTTTTTGTTCAAAGATTTCAACCTAAAGGTTGATTGTTGTAATCCGGTCATCCTCAATCTCAAGGACGAACTGATCATTTGTAATGTAATCTATTCAAACTTCAATGAAATCATTTGAATTGGGTGTGGCTCCATTTTTTTTTTTTTTTCCTTCAGGGCTTTTCACGTAAAAAAATATGATGTTTATGTTCTTTCTTTGTTTGTGAATTTATACTCGTTCAACGCTAAGACGTGAAATCTGATACTTTACCACCACAAATATTCTAGCCCACAACAAAAATAAGGAAGAAAAAAATGATGTGTCAAAGATGCATCCCCTTAGTGTCACCTGTTACAAAAAGCTTCTTAAGAGATTAAGTTTTCCATGCACTACATTAGAAATTAAAGAGTTAATTCTCAGCGAGGAAATAATAATTTATCCATTTGTAGGACTTTGTTGACGGAGAATGCTCATAAAATTAAAACATATCTCAGCCAAAACACAGAAATACCAACCTTACATTAAAGTTCCGAAAATTTAACAGAGACAATATTGCACAAACTAGGAATATTCATGAGGAAAGGACTCGCCTTGCGAATAGGTAGTTAAAAAGGGCGGTTCTCGCTCCCCCGACGTGTAGATTTCCGGTGGGAGACGGCGCAAATCTGACTCGAACCTCGCCATTGATAGGCCCGGCGGCAGCGGAGGCCAACATGGAGATATTCCTACGGAAAAGGGAGAGGCTGGGATTGAATAGTAAACATCGCCTGATGGAGAATGGCTGAAGCTCGGGCAAAACCCTAATTCGAAGCCATGGCGATCCGGCTAGGCCCGCCATGTTTTCAGTATCGCTCGCGGGCTGGAGAAGGGGATAACGCGAGCGATTTTCAATAGATTTTACTAAAATACTTAAATAGGAACATTTATTTTAATAATGTTTTCTTATAAATTTAATTATTTTTCCCAAAACAAAATAAATATAATTATTTTCGATTATCTCTAAGGCAAGTCGATGGAATCATTGATCGACTCAATTCAAATTCTAAGCGATTTTAATTTTTTTAATATAAATAAAAACAAATTAATATTTAATTTTAATAATATAATAAGTTAAAGTTTGGAATGATTAAAATTATCTTTAAATAAAAAATGGATTAATTCCTTATATAAACTTGTTGCATCCTGGAATATCTGTGACGGCAGAGAAGTATAAAATTTAACGTTTTAGTTTTGTACGAACATCCAGCATGCAATCAGATAAAGAGAGGTGGTACATTATTTACAAGAGACACCGAGATTTTTATGTTGAAAACCCTTGAAAAGAAGGAAAAGCACGGAGCCTAGCCCAGTTTGAATTAATCAACTAATATTTGTAGTTTATTACAAATGAGATCCTTTATTGGAGGGAAGGACTTAGTTTGATGTAACAAATATATATCATATAGAGTGTGTTTCACGGTGAAAATAAGAAGAATAATTGTTGATGTGTTCGCTTGGTCAGAAGTGTCATAGTCGGCGGGCGACGGAGATTGGAAGGACTGTAGTCGGTGGGCGACGTAAGTTGCAAGGATTGTAATCGTCGAGTGACGAAAGTTTGAAGGACCGTAGTCGGCAAGCCACGGAGGTCATAAAGACCGTTGTCTGACGACATAAAACGGAAGGACAACGTCAGGTAGAATTCCAACGATGGACATAAGTCCAACGTCGGATACAAGTCAGACGAGTGTCCGGTGACGGGGAAAAGTTCAGCGATGGGTAGAAGTTTGACGGAATTCCAGTGACGGGCGGAAGTCCAGCATTGGGTAGGAATCCGGTGACGGGCGGAAGTCCGGTGTTGTATATGAATTCAACGATGGGCAGAAGTCAAGTATTAGGTAGGAATCCAGTGACAGGCGAAAGTTCAGTGTCGTATAGGAATCCGACGACGTGCAAAAGTCTGTGTTATATAGGAATCCAGCAACGGGCGCAAGTCCGACGTTGGGTTGAAGTTTATCGATCAACAGAAGTTTGAGGTCGGATAGAAGTCCGACGAAAATCCAGTGACAGGTAGAAGTCCAACGTCGAGTAGAGGTCAGACGTAGAATAGAAATTCGTCAACGAGTGAAAGTTTGATGTCGGGTAGAAGTCCGACTTTAGTCGCGCGGCCGGGCGTGAATCCAGTGTTAGATGACATTCGGGCAGAACTCTGGCGTCGGTAGGCTGCCGGGTGAAAGTCCGGTTGTGGTCAAGGAGGAGTCTCTTCTTTCTCTTCTTTGCTTTCTTATTTTATCTTATTGCTTGGGCCTCCTTCTTCCCCTCCTTTGGGGTCCCCTTCTAAGAGAAATGAAATGTTTATTTATATTTTTTTAAGAGTGATATGACAAGTAAATAAGGAGGAGATCAAAGGCAAGTTGTGAGTGATTTGAATGGACAGATGATGTTGAATCCCTTGATCGTGGACTATTTATTAGGCATTTGGATGTCTTAATGACATCAGAATTCAACGATCTATAGCTTGTTGGATTCGTCTCATCGAGCCGCTCGATTTGATTATAAGCATGTCATGTTTGAAACCCGTTTGGTAATCCAAATTATAGTTTTATCCCTCCAAATGTGCTCCGGATCTTTGATTTAGACTTATTTGGACTCGGATTGAGTCAAATTTAGTGTCATTGGGTTTATATTTTTTAGACATTCAGTTCGACTATAAGTTTGCCGAAATCGGAGCTCAGATAATCCTATATTTAATTTTTGAAGTTTCCAACTTGATTTTGCTTCAAGATTCGTACTTGATTTTGCTTCAAGATTCGTACTTGATTCAGAAAATTTTTTAAGGATATATCAAAACTAATGAGAAATAAAAATAGAGAATACTATATATGTTAATTTAATATATTAAATAGATTAAAATATTATATTGAAATTGAGCTATCACCTTTTAATAGTCTTTAAAAATGGTAGACATTAAATGTTTTTTTAATGTTTTAAAATTAAAATTTAAAATTTATAAAAAAAAAATATCAAAGCTTGGAAGCATAAATTCTTTTTTAATTAACACTTAAATTAATTGTGATAATTATGTAATAACCAAAATATTGCATGGTATGTATAAATATGGATTTGGAAGTAGGATTTATTATATTTATGATCTTTTATAAAATAGTAGAAAAGGAAATTTAAAATCCTACAAACTTTTAAAACATTTTTTATTTATTTCATTTTAAATTCCTAATTTTTTAAATTCAGATATATAGTAGATTTAACTTAAATTTGAAGCTCTAAAAAACCTTCCTTCTTCTTCATACATTATAGACCCATATGTGCCTTCGATAAGAAGTTGTCCTCGTAACTTTCTCATTTCTTAGGCTAAGACTTTAGACTACTTGCTAGAAACGAAAGGATGAGAAAGATGAAAGTGTTATTTTGAATTTATAATTTGTATTGCTTATTTTTTTTTTAAAACTAATCTAAATAATTATAATAATAAATTTAAATTTATTAAATTTTTATTTTTTGATATTATTTAAGAACAAATCAAGAGATTTTGAATGCTTTGTGGCTTATTTAATTAATGGGTTGTCCCTAATTGAGAATTGTTTGTTTATAGTATGGACATGGCTTTTCCAATAAATAAATAAATGTCCTACCTAAATAAATTAAAAATATCATAAAAGTATGCACATAAATAACATACTTAGCATTAATTTCCATTTTGTTATATGCCAAAAGCCAAATCTAGCTGGGCTCATAACCAGGCTTACAATTGGGCCGAACTGTCACATACGCAAGCTATGAGAAAGCCCATTTTAGTATGGCTCTGTTTCAATTGAAAAAAAGTGAGAATTGAAATGAATACTCATTCATTATTTTATTATAAAAATTTATTCACTTAATTTTATATTTTATTTTATTTCACAGGAATATTTAATGACTTTTGTGCATCTTTTTCATAATATTTTATTTAAAAATGGTATTAACTAAGGTTAATTTACAACTAACACTGAAGTGATTTGACTAAATTTTGAAATTCATATAATACATGACTAATTAATGAAATTTTATATAATATTAAAAAAAATCAAACTATATTGAGAATCCTCTAAAGAAAAAAATCTTTCATACGATATATTATTCAACTTTGGTATGTTAAATTTTTTTTTTTAATGATGAATGTAAATATAAAATATGTGATTTGAATATATGGTTTTAGACCATTTATCCTTTCAAAGTATATGATTTGAATATATGGTTTTACTCTCCTAAGTTAAGTGTGGCAGAGATGAGGATGCTCAGGTGGATGAGTGTCTTTACCCTTAGAGATAGGATACGAAATGAGCATATACGTGAAAAGGTTGGAGTAGCTCCAGTAGAAGATAAGATTAGAGAAAGTCGCCTTAGATGGTTTGGTCACATAAAACGGCGGCCTTGCGATGACCCGGTTAGGAGAGTAGAGGTATTAGATTTGACTTATGTTAAGAAAGGTAGGGGTAGACCTAAAAAGACTTGGTTAGAAAATATTATGAATGACCTTTCTTTATTAGATTTAAACGAGAATTTGACTTTTAATAGGACACAATGGAGAAAAAGGATTCATGTAGCCGACCCCACGTAGTGGGATAAAGGCTTGATGTTGTTGTTGTTGTTGTATCCTTTCAAAATATAATCCATGATTAATTGTATGATTTAACAAGCCACTAAAATCAATTCTATTTATTTATTAATTATTAGGCTAATCAAAATTATTAAATACCCTTTCATTTGTTCAACAAATAATGCATTTAAGAAAAATCCCAATTTTGTCTATAGCACTCGTATGGAACTATTTATTAAACTAATGCCAGCAATCTCTATTTTTGTATATTGTTAAAATTAGGGGTGTCAATATTTGACACGATACGAAAATCCAACTCGAACCCGACCCGAAAATTTCGAGTTTGACCCTACCCGATTTCAAAACGAGTCAGTTTTGGTTCCAGAATTCGACACGTTTGAAAAACGAGTCGGGTTCGGGTTGACACGTCGGGTTACCGGGTTAACCCGCTATCCTGTTTAATTCAACTGCCCGTGAACCTGCCCAGATTTTCCCGTGCGAACCCGCGCCCAGCCTACTCACGCGCCCACGCGACCGCATTTGCCAGCCCGTGCGCCTGCCAAGGCCGACCGCGTCGCCAGCACGCTCAAGCTCGAGGCTGCCCTCGCACGTGCTCGCGCATGCCCGCACACCTGTCTGTACTGCGCATGCACCCGCCTGTGCCCGAACTCGCCCGCACCTGCTTTCACCCCCCACCCCCTCGCGCCCGCATCCGAGCATGTGTGTCGTGTCAGGTCAACCTGGCAACCCGATGGGTCGGGTTCAAGTTCGATTTTCGACCAGTTTGCATACTCGGGTCGGGTTAGGGTTGACCCATTTGAACCCGAGTCAGTTCCAGATTCGACCCGAACCTGAAATTGACACCCCTAGTTAAAACTTATAAAATGGATTGATGTTCTATGATAGCATGAGAGGTCAAAGAGAGCAAAAAATTGATTGAGGGAATTGTTAAGTTGTGGAGCTTTCTCTAAACCTAGAGAACGAACAACATAAATTTATATTTTTTTTGGAACAATTTTGTGTCGATGTTGCTACTTTGAAAAATATTCCAAATTTACTAAATAGGTACTTTGAAAAATATTCCAAATGAAACATTAGATTTCATTTGAGACAACTTTTTTATTGCATTCCAAACCAACTTGTTAGTACATAAAATATTCGAATCAGTACTTTTTGTACTAAAAACTTGTTTTAAAAAGTAGCTAGAAAGCTTTTTCAAACAAAATCTTACTTGCGAGTTGACTTTCATGATCAATGCATCTTAGAGATTCCAATGGGCCACGAGCCATCTCCTGAAAGTTTGAGGATGAATTTTTTTTTTGGGGACATTTAGGCCAATTAAGGCAAACTCACACACACAACGCATACACATGGACTCGAACCTTGAACCTCTTAGTTGGAAGCCTAAGCTCTCAACCAATAGGCCAAAGGGAGTTGTGTGAGGATGAATTCCTAGTTATTTTATTTTAAAAAAAATTATATTGTACTTTTCAACTTTCAAATATTTTTTCTTTATAAAAAAAATATATCATTTTATACCTAAAACTAGGTTGATAATCTTCAGAATAAATTAAAATAAAATCCATACCGATGATAATATGGTGTAATCATTTATTATAAAATATGTAAAAAAAAGTATTTTTTTTATGTATAAAATTGTTTTTTTTTTATTTTTTATTTATTTATTTATTATTATTATTATTATTATTTTTGCTCTAGGTGTTTAAAACATGTATCACCTATTTCTCAACATGAATCTCACACTTGAAGTTGAACATCCATGCAGGCGAACCAACCTATCTGAGTGATATTTGCAGTGGCACAGAGCTAGTGATTTTCTTTATGAGGGGCATTTAAATAATAAGTGCATATTAATATCACATATGGGACGGCTTTTTTACTGCTTCTTAAAATAAATTTTTAGTACAACAAATAAATTTTTTATACTAAAAAATTATTTTAAGAAGCAATAAGAAAGCCGTCCTAAATGAAGTCATAATCAAATTAAGGCTTCATTTGAAATAACTTTCTTACGGCCTTTTAAAAAGCTGTCCTATGAAGCAATATAAAAGCTGAATCAAACGGCCTAAAATAAAAATATTAACATATTTTACTTTGTTGTTTAATTGGCAAAGGCTGTAGCTAATGAATTTATGAATAAAATACACAAATCTTGCCTTAGTTTAAAAGGCAAGTATAGCTCTTAGGGTCCATTTGATTTACCGTAATTTCGCCGTTTTCAATTTGGATCGGTGAAAATTTTATAATTTAACTGTTTGTTTAGGCGGCGTTTTAAAACTATCGTTTGCCACACCACCCTTTTTTCGCCGATTTGAGAAGGATAAAAAATCTGTTTCTCCGTTCTAACACCTCCGTTTAAAACCGAAAAAAAAGTCGGTGGCAGCCAAACGAGGCCTTATTCTTTTATAATCTCATTTCATTCCGATTTGTATTAAGAAAATAAATGAATAAATAAAAGTTTTCTTCACTTAGAAGTGATTCCTTAATCATCATCTTCAAAATGAAAATTAAATTCTTAATAATAATTAATAAAGCAAACCATCCTTATCATTACTATACTATTTTTTGGGCATATTTTTTATATCACCCCATTAATATGACCAGTTCCTTCAAAAATAGAAAAAAAAAAAAAACTTGGTCAAATATTCAACGTCAGCTCAACAACCACCTGCACATCTACTCGATGAAAGGAGAAATAATTTTGTGAAGAGGCCGAACACACCTCTATATTTGGAGGCGAATTAGGTGCAGTCACGTCAGTGTTACCTGTCAAGGATAAATGTTTTATGTATTTAACTATTTAAGTATTATTGTAATTATCTTTAACTTCAGCTCCTATATGTTTTACACATCTAATGTAATAGCTATAAATAGAAGAGCTGGGTTGTAGATCACCATAGTGAAAATAATATGAGATCATTCTTCTTATTCTTCCTCTTCATTCGGTCTGCAATCTAGCTTCTTGAATTCTACATGGTATCAAGAGTCTTCTTCTCCTGCACGGACTGATCCAATGGCGCATCAAGAAACCGCCGCCTCCTCCACCGGAGTCCCTACGAACTCCGTTTCAACGCCGTCGCTCATTCCGCCAGCCCTCAAGTTAGTAATTTCGAATCTTAAACTTCTTGTTCCTCACGCTCTTACGCCGGATAATTTTCCGATATGGAGCACGCAAATAGCTAAGTTGTTCAAGGCGAACGGATTTGCGAGCTTTTTTGATTCCTCTGTCGCGCAAGAAAATGCCGATCCGAATCAAGATCCTCAAATAAGCCGCATCACCGATCAAAATCTTGCAATGGCAATGTGTTCAACCATTTCGCCGGCGGTTCTACCGTACGTCATCCATCTCGAATCAACGAGCGAAATCTGGACGACTCTTCATACAAGATTTCAGTCGTCAAATCGATCCAAAGTGATTCAGCTCAAACATGAGTTACACAACGTTTCGATGCAAAATTCATCCATGACTCAGTATCTCACTGACATAAAGAAGATCGTGGATCAGATTTCGTCCGCAGAGTCGTCTGTCGATCCGGAAGATGTAATCATATACATCTTGAATGGTCTTCCTCCCGAGTATCTGCCGTTCACAACGAGCATACGCACGATGCAAGGTCCCTTGTCCCTGGATACTCTGTACGCGCTCCTTATGAGTGAAGAAATTCATCTCAAAACAGCTGCACTCAAGTATCCTAAACCACCGGACACACAATCGGCTCTCTACACGTTCAGAGGTCATGGTCGCTGTGGTCGAGGACGATCGGGTCAAGAGCATCCTCCGCCAAGCAAATCTTCCCAGAATTCGGGCATCATCTGTCAAATTTGTAAAAAGAAAGGGCATCTCGCTGACGCGTGTTGGCACCGGTTAAACATCAACTACGTACCGAATTCTACAAACACTTCTTCAAAACAAAACCCGGCATTGGTAGCTACCAATGACAGCAATTCGGCGGTTGATTGATACCTTGATTCGGGAGCTTCTGCACACATGACAAATACCATTGATAATTTGGACGTATACAACGTTTACAAAGGCAATGATTCGGTAACAATTGGGGATGGAAGGACCGTTCCCATAGCTGACACGGGCTCGGGACTCCTTCCCACCCCGACTAGTAAGCTCAATTTATCTCGCTTACTTCATATTCCTAATCTTTCGTATAATCTGTTATCTATATCTAACTTGGTTAAGGATAACCCAATTTCTATAATCTTTGATGAAAATGGTTTTGCTTTTAAGGACCGGACGACCAACAAAGTCATTCTCACAGGACCGTGTAGCAACGGCCTGTACAAAATCACAAGCCAATCTCCGCAACATACTCCTACATCTTTCACTGCAACCGCTGCAACTTCAATGGACTGGCATTGCCGTCTCGGACACCCCCATCAGCGGGTTCTCCATCAAATCTCCAAGAACAATCCATTTTTACATATTAAGTCTTTTAATTCTGCATGTACACCTTGCCTTTCTTGTAAAGGTTACAAACTATCTTTCGAAAAATCCATTAGTAAAACTCTTGCTCCACTTGAAATAATTCACTCTGATGTATGGGGTCCCTCACCGGTTTCATCTCATCAGGGATTCAAGTATTATGTGATTTTTATAGATGATTTTTCTCGCTTTAGTTGGTTGTTTCCTCTCTTACATAAATCTGAAGTTACTAATACTTTTATACATTTTATTACTTTTATTGAAAGACAAACTAGTCACAAGGTAAAAACTGTTAGAACCGATGGCGGCGGTGAATTCGTCAATCGCAAATTTCAGGAATTTACAACAAAACACGGTATACGGCATCAAATTTCGTGTCCATACACTCCTGAACAAAATGGTATAGCCGAACGTAAGCATCGGCATATCATAACTATGACAAGAACGCTCCTTCATACTGCCGCCTTACCCATGAACTATTGGTTGGAAGCTGCATTTACAGCTACGTACATTATTAATCGTCTTCCCTCTCCTACGACCGAGAACATCTCACCGTTGCAAAGAATGTTTAATATCGTTCCTTCATATGACCATTTGCGGGTTTTTGGATGTGAATGTCATCCTCTTCTACCGTCGGTTCATCGCACCAAATTAAGCCCCACGTCACCTGCGTGTATCTTTCTTGGTTACTCTGAAAACTCAAAAGGCTACAAATGTTGGAATCCGGTAACAAACAAATTAATCATCTCGCGCAATGTCAAATTTAACGAAACTTCTTTTCCATTCAGGCACAAAGTGAATCCGGCTACTAAATTTACACCAGATGTGCCGCCTGCGTTGCTTATTCCATCAACAATTCAACGCCAAACTCATACTATCCATACACCAAGGCCTGCAATTCCGGACCAAACAGATGTATACACTGCTCTTAATCCAGCAACTACCGATCCTACACCAGCTTCGGATGCAGTTGGTCCGATGCCAAGTTCTCAAGCAATACCTCCTGCTCACCATATGACAACCAGATCAAAAACAGGCTCTCTTAAACCTGTCCAAAGACTTAATCTTCTTCATCACACCCAATTGCAATCCGATCCAACGTCATATGCCGAAGCATGCAAAAAGATTGAATGGAGACGAGCTATGGCTGAAGAATTTCTAGCTTTGCAAAAACAGGGCACATGGACATTGGTACCGCCTCCTGCAAACGGACAAATATTGGGTTCAAAATGGACCTACCGAACAAAATATACGTCAAATGGTGCAGTAGCGCGATTCAAAGCTCGTCTCGTAGCTCATGGGAATCAACAGGAAGATGGTCTTGATTATCAAGACACATTCAGCCCGGTCGCTAAGCTTCCTACAATTCGAATTTTATTTGCAATTGCTTTGTTTCACAAATGGCCGGTTCATCAACTTGACGTCGCAAACGCATTCTTGCACGGCGAGATTCAGGACACGGTTTACATGAAACAACCTAAAGGGTTTGAAGATCCTTCCAAACCGAACCACGTCTGTCATCTGAAGAAAGCCATCTACGGCCTCCGACAAGCCCCACGACAATGGTACACTACTTTCACATCTTATTTACTTCAAATTGGTTTTAATCACAGCAGGGCCGATCCATCACTATTAACTCTTCACCGTGAGCACGTCCAACTCTATCTACTTGTGTATGTCGACGACATACTTCTCACCGGCAACAATATTAAGGCCATGACTGATCTAGTGGTCCAACTCAAATCAAAATTAGCTATGAAAGATTTGGGTCCAGCACATCAGTTTCTCGGCATTAAGATAGAATCTCATCCATATAAGTACTTTCTATCTCAGAGTTTATATGCCAACTCTATTGTTCAAATGGACGAGTTACAAAAATGCAACTCGATCGCTAATCCATCATTTACGAAACCCACAGACCTGACGGATGCAGGCCAGCCGATCTTCGATGCAATCAGTTATCGTCGGATCATCGGATCGCTGCAATATCTCACATTAACGAGACCAGACATTGCATATGCAGTCAATGCTCTATCTCAGCACATGCACAACCCGTCCGTCTCGCATACAAAAATGTTAAAGAAACTCATTAGGTACATCAAAGGCTCTACAGAATTCGGCCTTCCAATTACTCGCTCCAATTTGATTCTTCGAACCTTCTCGGACGCCGATTGGGCCTCGGATCCAATCACTCGCAAATCCACGTCTGGCTACTGTACCTTTCTCGGCGATACTCTAGTGTCTTGGACTGTCAAGAAACAAACCACTGTATCCCGATCATCTACTGAGTCAGAATACAGGGCGTTAGCAGCTGCCACCGCCGATACTATCTGGATAAAGAGGCTTCTTGAGGATTTCTGCATTCAGCACTCTCAACCAGTTGATGTCTATTGCGATAATATCTCCACTATTGCACTAGCTAATAACCCTCTCTTTCATGCAAGAACAAAACATATCGAGATCGACCAGCGGTTCGTTCGAGATCACATCCAGCACAATGTCATTCGGCTATTACCTATAAGCACGGTCGATCAGATCGCGGACATTCTTACCAAGCCACTGGCCACACCTCGATATAAAATCCTTCGCTCCAAACTGACCATTGGCTGCAATAATCAGTTTGAGGGGGAATGTCAAGGATAAATGTTTTATGTATTTAACTGTTTAAGTATTATTGTAATTATCTTTAACTTCAGCTCCTATATGTTTTACACATCTAATGTAATAGCTATAAATAGAAGAGCTGGGTTGTAGATCACCATAGTGAAAATAATATGAGATCATTCTTCTTATTCTTCCTCTTCATTCGGTCTGCAATCTAGCTTCTTGAATTCTACAACAAGCCACAGTACACAACGAAAAAATTACGTGACACATTCTGATTAATTTCCTGACAACGTTCGACCTCCACACAGAATAATTTATCCCCATGAAAGTGCCATAACTTTTATTTTTTCATAATAATAATAAAAAGAAAGAGAATTTAAAATTTGTCCTATTTTTTAGTTCCAAAATTTTTTTAATTTATGATGTGATGTCTTTGTCCATGCAAAATATGGATTAGATCAAGTGTTCAACTAATTAAGCACAATTAAGCCTTTAATAGATGATTTAAGGTATAATCCTATGATCAAGCTCAACAAAGGGTAATGAGATGGATCTGCGTAAATCTTTTGTCAGACATGTGAAGTCCAACAAGCCAATCGATTAAATCTGAACAAAAAGACAAAGTTTCTGTTTTTCTGTGCTTTGTTTCTTCACATTTACTCCTTGCACTGTTTTGTAGATGGAATGCAATTATTTGCACGCTATTGAACAAAGAATTACCTGTGTAGGATTAATTGCATATTAATTTTATTTTGTTCATCATCTCAATTATAAATATATATATATATATACATTATGTATTATTATTGATACGTTACAAAAAATTTATCATAACCAGTAATAAATCTTGAGGCAAGTTCAATAGAAAGCTTTCAAAATCAAATTCAGGATGACCTGAACTCTGATACTATATAACAAACTTATAGTCAAACTAAATATATTGATAATATAAACCAAACAACATCAAAATCGGTCCAATCCGAGCCCAATTGAGCTCAAAGCATATATGGAAGCTTTAGAACAAGAATTTGATGGTTGAATGGTATCCAAATATACCATGCTTATAATCGAATCGAGGACTCGACGAGGCGAATCCAACAAGCCGAAGATCATTTGATTATGATGTTGTGCTCTTAAATTTTGAATGAATAATTTATGATCAAGGGAATCAATATGAATTGTCTAATTGAGCACCCCACGTTTGCTATGGATATTCTTCATATTTATAGAATATGTTTCTCAAAATCTATAAATAAATGCGCACTCCCTACATAAAGGAGACATTCGGCCAAATATTGAAGAATAACTAGATTCATGCATCCTAAAGCTACTCCTCACCGCATCTCCACCACCGCCCATCTATCGACTGGTATCGAACAACAACCTATAGCATGAGACTGCCATCGAACAACAGCCCAACAGGCGACTGCCGTCGGACCTCTGTTGAACTTTCACCAAGCTATTGCTACCATACTTGCGAACTCCACCACCTGACTAGTATGGTCCATCCGAGTATCCAACCACTATCGCATGACAATAATTTTTCACAACCTTATTCACCAAACAGACATGTCAACGTTCTCTTGAGAACGTCTCATTTTGTTGGATTATTCCTACTTCAACCCTGTAATGTGCTTTATATGATATATATTTACTATATTGTGTCAATTGCCGTCTCCTTGTAAGGACATCATTTGTAATCAATAATAAACAATGATAGAATCATTTCAGCTGGGTCAGGCCTCATAGTTTTCTCTCTTTTTAGGATTTTTCACGTAATCGACGTCTCTTATGACTTTTGCACCATTCTCTCTAATCAGTTTGTATGTTGATCTTTGTACAAAAATAAGACGTTAAATTCTTGCACACATCTCTTTATTACCTCGAATGTTCTAGCTCGCAAAAATTATATTTTTGTT